CCTTACTGGCTGTGTGTGGGGGATGCATCATGGCTCTCTCCATAAGGCCGCTCACAAGGCGGCACCTGATTTTCCTCAGAGGGAGTGAGTGGGAGTGGGCACCCAAGACAGAAGCCACCGTCTCCTAAAACTTAATCTCCACAGTGACATCCCTTCGCTTCCACCACATCGTGTTCCTTCGAGGTGAGTCAGTAAGTCCAGCCCTATACGCAGGGGTGGAGATCCAATGACGTGAGTGCCAGGAGGGAGAGATCACTGGGAGCCATCTTGGAGGTTGCCGACCAGTGAGAAGATCGCGGTGTAGCTGGGATTTGCTATATATTATTTCGTGCATGGAATAGAAGTCTCTGACATGCTTGTTAAAGCTGCAGGGGCTGGACCAGGGCACCAGGAGGTCAGAGAGTTGCAGGGGAAGGTTGGCTGGTTTGTTTCTCAGAGACCTTATATAAATTCACGACTGTCCAGGGTCTGGTTCCTAGTCTTCAAGGCTAACAAGCTTATTCATGCATCTGCCTCCTTCAGTGCAGGGGACTGTGGCTTGCTCTCACATGAACCTACAGAGGGGCTGGTATCTGAGGAAGGAAGGCCAGTGGCTGGATTTCTAAAGAGATGTGCAGACCTGAAGCGGGTTGGAAGGCCACGTCTTTCTGAGCAGCGGGATCTCCTTGTGGCGGAAAGCGCCCTCGCTCAGGCGAAGATCAGGTCGTTTGGAGAGCACCTGCGGACCGTGCCGTTAGCCCGTCCGTCACACCTTAGATGCGGACTGGCCCCAGACTGCGCTGATCAGCCACAGCCAGCTTCGTGCTGGGGCGTCTGCCCTGCCTTGATGGGCACTGTTAGTGTCTGAACTTTTCTAAATGCAGCTTCCTCTCAGATTCTTTTCCTTAAAATCAATTCCGCCCTTCTGTTTTCTAAGTCCCACGCTGGCACGTGGCCTTACCGTAAAAGACCTGGTACCTCTAGCCGCCACCCCTCCCTCACCCCCATTTCCCACACCCCACAGGCAGCTGCTTCAAACATTTACCTTACGGTTCTGGTACTTACCTTAATGTCTCTCAATAATACGTATCTACTGCTCCTTGTTGGTTTCTCAGTTGTAGGTATTCTTGACTGATTTTTCACTGTGGAGAGGGGGGGGATAGCTCTTGGGTCCCTCTCCCTGCAGGGACCCCTCTCCCCACCCATCCTCTAGCACAGACATACCCTCTTTTTAGTTTGGTCCCTCTTCGGTGAATACATTACTAGGATCCCAAAAATGCTATCTAGCCGAGCTGCAAGGTACGGGATCGTTATTTTGGCACAACTTCTAAATTTCTTTTGAGTTCCTACTGGAACAAAACCAAACAAACATGGTTGGTGTTGTGTGAACTTACTACTAATCAAAATGCACGTGCTCTCTCACTTACGGAAATGTGAATATGTGAAAAATCGGGCCCCTGTGAGGCCGTCTCTCCTGCAGTCCTCTGCCCGCCGTGGCCCGAGGGAGCCTGGCTGCTCCGTGGGCTTGTCCCCACCAGCTCTCTGGTCTTACCGCTTCTTCAGTCAGATGTAGTTCGCGGGCCACACAGTTCACCCTTACAAGGTGTGCAGTCCAGTGGGTTTCCGTGCATTTACAAGGCGTGTGACCGTCCCCTGTCTCTAAATACAGAGCGATTTCGTCATCCCAAAGGCGAACCCCATCCCCATTAGCGGTCATCCCTTATCCCTTCCTCCTCCCGGCCCCTGGAAACCCATACCTGTTCTTGGCGTCTTGTATAAATGGAATCCTGCCGTCCGTGACCTTTTGTGTCTCTCTTGGCGTCTCGCCCTTTGCGTGACGTTCTCAGGGTTCGTCCGTGTTGTAGGCGGTGTCGGTGCTTTACTCCTTTTGTGGGCTGAGTGGTCTTCGGCTGCAGGGACGAGCGGCTTCTGTTGATCCACCAGTCCTCCACGGCGGCTGTGTGCGTGGTTTCCACTTCCTGGTTATTAACAATCTCGCTCTTGTGTCGTATCTTCTCTTTCGTAGAAACTGTGTTCTTTTTCTTGGATTTTTTTTTGTCTTTTTTTTTTTGGTTGGGGGCGGGTTAAGATTTTTGGAAGATTGCATGTCTGAAAACGTTTTTACTTTCTTACCACAGGGTTTGGCTTGGTGCCTAATTCCAGGGTGGAAACAATTGCCCTCAGGGTGTTGACAGCCATTATCACTTGATCGGTTGCTAGCTTACAGGGTTGTTCGGAAATCCAAGGTCATCTAGAACTTTCTGTCATCTGTAAAAGTTCTGCCTCCGCTCCGGAAGTTAGCACCCTCTTCAGTTTGTCTCTCTTGACCTGAAATTTCCCTGTGAGGTGCCTGAGCATGGTTCACCCCTCGTGCTGTGTGCCCATTGGGCTCTCCTGTCCCCACACCCGCCTCTCTGGTTCTAGGACATTACTTGAATGAAGTCTTTGATTTCCTGGTCTCTGTTAACTTTCTTTCCCCCCTTCCCTTTCTTGGTTTCTCTCAAATGGTAATTCTCCGTTTCATTTTTTTTTTTCCCTTTTGTTATCCTTTGGCTCTGTCTTCCGGACATTCTCTTACCGTCTGTCCTTTGTATCTAGTGTTCCCTTACTTCCGTCCCAGTTTGGCTTTCCAAACGAGTTTGTCTTTTTACTCTGTGCGTGTGTGCCTCTTTTTCTTCTTCTTAGACTCCTCCCTGTTCCTGTTTTCAGCTATACCGTCATCTTCTGTCTCTGGGACTGTGACCGACAGTTTGCAGATTCTCGAGTGTATTTTTCCCTAACTTGTGTCTCTCCCTTACAAGATGTTCTCTTCTGTCTGTAGATTCTGGTCCGGGTTTTCCGTCTTAGGTGCCTGTCTCAGACATGAGGCGATCTCTGGCCATGTGCTCCGAGATAGGGGTGGGGTGCCACAGAGCCGAGCTCTCTGTGTAGGAGCTGTGCTCGTGCCCTGGTGGGGTGATCTGGCTGTGCTGTGTCACTGCAGAGCCCCTCGTATCAGCCCCTTCCGGTCTTTTCCTCAGCCTGTTAAAATTCCAGGACAGTCCTTTGTACTATGTTGGCTTCTTGCTGCTGGGGAATGGGAAAGGAGGAATGGAAGAAGTTCAGCAGTACTGTTTCGCACTCTCTTTCCTCTGGGGTACCCGTGCCTTCAGCTCAGTCCACACCACTGTTTTCACCTTCTCTGGAGAATAAGCCCTTAATTTTCTGCAAATGGTTCCTCCTTCTTCTTCTCCTCCCCCTCTTCCCCCCCTTCCCCCCCTTCCCCCTCCTCTCCCTCCTCTCCCTCCTCCCCCTTCCCCTCCCCCTCCAGTGTTTGTTTATTTTTGAGAGAGAGAGGAGCGGGGGAGGTGCAAAGGGAGAGGAAGACAGAGAATCCAAAGCAGGCTGGGAGCTGTCGTCACAGAGCCCGATGCAAGGCTCGAGCCCACGAGCTGTGAGATCATGACCTGAGCCGAAGTCTGACACTCAACTGACTGAGCCACCCAGGCACCTCTGCAAATTGCTTCTTAAACAGACTTTTTTATCTTTCCTCTTCACATTCAGCCCCATGTTTACCCTTCCCCCCCACTTCTAGAAATGTCTTGTATTAGCACTTTGTCAGCTGTTGGCCAGTTGTCCCGTTTGAATGAGATTGTATTTTGGTGTTGTGCACCTGCAGCCCAGAAGGAAACTCTCTCAGGTCTGTCTTGTTGCTCGCCAGTGATTGGCCTGCTTCTTGGCTTCTAGAATTTTGTCGTCTTGTCCCCTCTCTCACTCCCTTTCTTTCTCAAGGGTGATGCTGCTAGAATTTTTAAAATTGGTGTTTCAACGGGACTCAGAGGATGCGAGCGTAAATGAATGTGTTCAGTCTGTCACCTTGAAGTGGAAGCCCTTTAAAGGTTTTCTCAGTACCTATTTCAGGTTGCAGAGGGTTCCTGGGTCACTGTCCTCAGCACTGGCTGGGCTGCGGTCACTCCTGGGATGGGAGCAGCTTAGGACGCATTCCAGTGGGATGTGTGTCGTCATTCAGGGCCCTGCTGCCTCTGGGCCTCTATCTCGTGGCCTGATGGAGCCTCCGGGAGAGGGCTGAAGGCGGAGCCGCAGTCGGTGCAGACTCAGTACCCCCAGTTTTGCTTAGCCTTGGCCCACTTTCTCATCCTCCCCCAGTCTGTCCAATTGCTGGTGCCAGAGGGGGGCTGGCCTTCACTACCATCTCCTCAGCCGATGGGGTGTCCGGGAGTTCCGTCTCCTGGAACACGCAGGAGATGGAATCCGCTTACCTGATGCTTCTTTCTGGGCTTGGGGCTAATCCACATTCTTGACCCACGCCAGTGGGGCACTTCCTTCCTGTCCGTGTTCCCTTGTTTTTCTTGGAATTCGCCCGCTTGTTCCCAGTTCTCACTTCTTGTCCTTTTCTACAAAGCAAGCATTCATGGATGCGACTCTCAAAGGAGGAGTGGCACCCGCCAGTGTCTTCTGTGCTCCTAACTCCTGCGCTGGCCTGGGAGCCAGTCTCTTGTTTGGATGGCCTTTCTGGGGATTCTGCATCGGTTGTCGAGTGTTTCCCGAAGCTGCCTAGCTTCCGCCCTAAGCACGGTTGGTAAACGTTCATTCTTAGCGGCTCTGCGTCTGCCCTGACCCCTGCCGTTGACGTCCAGCTGTAGGCGGGCGGTCCTGCGCTGGGGAACTGTGCTGTTGGAGAAAAAGAAATGTGACCAACGTAACAGGTGGAAACGGAGGCTCCTACGTCTTGCCCGTGCGTCGTCTGTTTTGCTCTGGGATGGGGAGTGGTGACCGGGCGGTTCCCCAGACTTCTGTGCGTCTGTCCCTGTGACACTTCCATTCTTACCATTCACTTCACTGTACTTGTGTGAAAATGTTGGAGGGGTGAAGTCATTAATAGTTGGGATCTTTTTTCTGCCTCATCAAAAGCACTCTCTCTGTGGAGAAACCATTTGGCAAAGACCAAAACATTTTTTCACTGGGAGAATAACTTTTGGTTACTGTGAAAATATTTATGGGGTTTCTTTGTTTTCCTAAAGCTGTCCCAAACCTTTGGAACGTTGATGGAGAAGTTGCAGTCACTGAGCAGAAGCCGGGAGAAGTCGCCGAGGAGCTGGCGAGCTCCTACGAGAGAAAGCTCATCGAGGTAAGGCTGGCTGTCCCTGTGCGTTTACCCCCATGGTGGCTGCTTCATGGACTTCCCAGAAACAGGTCCAACCTGTCACACAGATGGTAGCAGAGCAATCAGATCCTACCCCCCCTTCCCCACCAACAAGGCAAAACACAAAATGGTGAAAGCATTGTGCTTGGTGAAGAAAACCTAGAGCGGGTTCTTCGAAAATATTTAATTAGGAAGTCTTGGTGCCTGTGGCAAGGAAGGAGAGAAAACGAAAATGTGATGTTAAAAGTAAGCAAACAAATGGACCCTTGGATTTGGAGATTACAGACAGGAGAGAATATGACAAACGACTTTGTGCTCAGCAGTGCGCACACGTGGATGAGATGGTCTCTTTCCGAGGATAACATGGATTATCCACATGAATGGAAGACGAGGCCAGCTTGCCTGCAGGGCACCAAACAACCGGGAGAAAGTTGTGAACATAGAGGGGGTCCCTAGGAGATAGCAAAGCTGGATGCTTTTATGGCCATTTTGCTCTTTGTGCTTCCTTAAAGCATCATCTCTGTCTTTATGTCCACGTGTCTGTATCTTGGTTCAAATGTGCATTATGCCAATATCAAAAAATCACAAAGACGGCATAAAAAATCTATAATCCACATTAAAATGGGACTTATTTAGAATTTCAAGGATGGCTTAATGTTAGGAAATCAGTCAAGTCAGCTTATTAATAATTAAAGGTGAAACACCAGATAGTGATCTTGATTGGTATTAAAAAGTGATTTGATAATGTTCATCATCTCTATCTATATCTAACAAAAATACTTTTCATTGATGTAGAGTTGATATATAATGTTTCAAGTGTACAACGTAGTTGTTATGCCCAGAATTCGTGATCCCCAAAGACCACTAGGGAGCCGAGTCCGATGCAAAAGCAAAGAGCCTTTATTCGAGCTAGCTCGAGCTCAATCCCCTACCTGCACCGACGCAGCGGTGAGATACCAGGGAAAGAGAGCGAGTTTCAAAAGGACAAAGGTTTTATTGGGGCCTGGGGGCAGTTGGTGAGGTAATGGCTATGGCCTCAGCCG